AGGAGATTTTCTCTAACCCTAGACCAAGTGTGGCTGTTTGCTGTGTGTTCCATAGTGCTCTGTGTTTCCCATGCTATTACATTCATGTGTGGTCATTACCTGGCTAGTGCAATCTATGTTTAAACATCATTTGTTATTTTTTAAAAGATTTTATTTATTTATTTATTTGAAAGGTAGAGTTATAAACAGTGAGAGGCAGAGACAGAGACAGAGGTCTTCCTTCCACTGGTTCGCTCCCCAGATGGCTGCAACGGCCGGAGCTGTGCCGATCCAAAGCCAGGAGCCAGGAGCTTCTTCCCGGCCTCCCATGAGGGTGCAGGGGTCCAAGGACTTGGGCCATCTTCTACTGCTTTCCCAGGCCATAGCAGAGAGCTGGATTGGAAGAGGAGCAGCCGGGACTAGAACTGGTGGTCCATATGGGATGCTGGCGCCACAGATGGAGGATTAACCTACTGCGCCACAGCACCGGCCCCTAACATCATTTGTTATTAAACTTTTTTGATATGTTGTGTTGTAATTTTCATTTGTTTCCAAAAACATTTTTATTTTCCATTTGATTTTTCTAAGACCCATTATTCATTAAGGAACATGTTGTTCCATGCCCATGTGTTTGCATATTTTCCAGAGATTCTTGAGTCTTAGATTCCCAGCTTCATTCCATTGTGGTTGGGAAAGATTCGTGATATAATTTCAAATTTTTTTGAATTTGTTGAGACTTGCTTTATGGCCTAGCATATGGTCTATCCTAGAGAAAGTTCCATGCAGTGATGAAAAAGATATGTATTCTGCAACTGTGGTGTGGGATGAGTTCTGTAGATATCAGATAGGTCTATTTGGTCCATAGTGTAGATTTGTTCTGTTGTTTCTTTGTTGATTTTCTGTCTAATTGATCTGTCCATTGATGAAGATGGGCTGTTGAAGTCCCCTATTACTATTATATTCGAGCTTATGTCTCCCTTATATCCTTTAACATTTGTTTTAAAAAGCCAAGTGTCCTGGCATTGGGTGCATGTACATTTATTATATTCATATCTTCCTGTTTAATTGATACCTTAATCATTAATTGGGCCCTTTTTCATAACTTTTAGTAGTTTTTATGTTAAAGTCTACTTTGTCTAGTATCAGGATGGTTATTCCTGCTCATTTTTACTTTTTGTTAGCATGGAATATCTTTTTCCATCCTTTCACGTTCAGTCTGTGTATATCTTTGTTGGTGAGGAGTGTTTCTTGTAGGCAGCAAATAGATGGGTCTTATTTTTAATCCATTCAGCCAGTTTGTATCTTTTAATTGGAGAATTTAGATCATTTACATTCAAGGTTATTATTGATAAGACTTAGCCCTGTCATTTTTCTATTAATATTCCTATTTTTTGTTTTGGCTTTCCTTTGTACTTTCACTGGAAGATATTTGACAGTGTAAGCACAGATCCTGCTACAGGGACCCACCCCAGGCAATCGGGGAGCTCCGAGCCTCTGGCACCACAAACAGTGATTGCCCAGAGATCCAGCTGCAACCTGTGCCAGAGTTCCCACAGTCTCAGCATGCAAGGTTCCCACAATCACGGGGTGAAGAGCATCTGTTCTGCCTTGCTAGCTTGTCCCTTCCATGGAGACAACAGAGACATTTCCAGAACCAGCTGCCTTTGGATCCTCTGCCTTGGCAGTTTGAGCCGCATAGCCTTTGATGTGTTGAGAGGTTGCAGGCACCTCACAATCCTATCTGGATGTCCAGCCTCCTGTCAATCCTCCCAGCCAGATTAAAAGTCAGTGGGGAACACAGATTTTTCCCTCTGATAAAATCCCTGGATTACAAGCAGGCACAAGAGGTGCTGCAGCTGCTACTGGTGTTAAAATGGCACCTTCTCCTCACCAGTTTCCAGGCACCTTTGTGGGGTGATGGGGAGAAAGAAGCATGTTCTTTTTTTGCGTGGGTTAAGTAGGTACCCTGCCCCTGTTAGGGCTTCAGGCCAGACTCAAAAACAGTGTGGCATGCGAATCTCTTCGTCCGGCAGTATTACCATTGGCATGGCTGCTGCAGTCTGCTCTCATCTTCATCTCCCAAACTGGTGTATGTTCTGTCTCTTGGCTATGGGGGTTGTGTGTTGCGTCTGCACTCATTTCTACATGTCTGCACCTTCCATGCTAATTCACAGCATCCCTCTTTTCCTGAAGAATTTCCACTGCAGATTTATCTGCAACTCTTCTCTGGGAATGCACTTCCTCCCCATTTTATCTGCTTATTTCTCCTCTCCTAAATCAGTATGTTCTTTCCCTTTTCAGCCATCTTCAAATCCTGTAGTTTTTTTTTAATTGTTCTATTAGTCATCGTTCAAGTACTTTCCATTTTTTTATTTTCAATATTGATGCTGATGTAAACATATCTGTATATCTGTCTTCTGTATATGTTGTAAAAACTTTCTCTAAACTTATGCCAAAGAGTGAAATGTGGTGCATTAATGGCTTTTCTATATTTTACATAAAAATGATTCAAAAATATTATTGAGCACTTACAGTGTGCCTGGGTGAAGCACTAAATTAAGAGAGACAATATTTCTGCTTTCTGGAAGAAAAACATTTCTACCTGCAGGGACAAGTAACATAGTAAGATAATTTCAGAGAATACTGAAAGCTAGAAAGTGAATTGTACCATTCTCCTGCATCATTATCTTCTATATTTTTTGTTGCTTTGAAGATTAAATATAACTCCTTTCCATGTCTACAAGACTTGGCAGCATTTGGTCCCTGTCTCACTCTCATTTTTCCTTTTGCTCCCTGCAGGCTAACACACTGACCTTGTAGTCTTTGGAACTTTCTTAGCTTTTTCCACTCCATGTCTTTCATTTGCACTGCTCATCTTCCTGGCAAATTCTTATTGATGATTCAAGTCTCAGTCTACTCGTTCTGTTTTCAGATAGCACTTCTTTGATCCCTATAAAAATAGGTCCCTGCTATTCAGCCTCCCTTATGTACCTTGTTCTTTCCCTCTGCATCACTTACCATGATACATAATGACACAGTAATGTCATCTACCTCATCTACTAGACTGCGAATTCAATGAAGGCAGGAATGATGCTTTTTTTTTTCTTACTGCTATGTCTTCTTGCCCCCAGCCTGACATATAGTGGTTCCTCTGTTATCTTCTCAAATTAACATAAATTACTTTTTTTTCTGAAAGCTTTGTTGCATATTCATTATGAGCATGAGACTTGGTTTTGTTTGGTTTCAATTTCCCTTGCTCTTTTTGGGCTATTCCCTCACAAAGAACTTTGGGGGCCCCAGATCATAATCAAGCTTTATTAGAATACCATCTAAGGACGCCTTGTCCTTTTGATATTGAAGACATACATGGGACAACAGGTAGCCTGTTGCAGTGTTTGCTTAGTCTTGAGGTTGCCATCTAGTCCACAGACAGTATCCCTATGCCCTTAGATCCAATCCACAGCTTCAGATGGCAGTAGGCAGTAGTACTCTGTTTTGGTTTCTAAGCATACTATAATGGGGTCTGTGGAGGACATAGAGAAAAGCCTCAGTCACCTAAGCTTAAAATGGTATGCCTGGATCCAGTTTATTATCTTTCTTGGAACATTTCTAGTCCCTATTACTCTTTCTGAGGCCAATTTTCCCTTCCTTTCCCTATATTATTATTATTATTTGAAAGTAAGTTGAAGGTTTCATGACATTTTACCCTAAAATACTGTGGCTTATATATATCCTAAAAGTAAGAGCATTCTCCCACATCATTACAATTCCACTATCACAACTAAGAAACTTATGTGAATACAATGACATGATCTTACATTAAGTCCATGCTCAACTTGCTTCAATTTTCCTCCCCAAAACAAATCCAGTGAATTTCCAGTAAAGATCATATGGTTTAGAATTTCAGATCTCTTAAGTCTTCTTTAAACCAGTGAAGTTTGCATAGCTTTATTTTTATTTTTATATTTTGTTTCTCATGATGTTGATATTTTTAAAGAGTCTAACCAACTGCTGCCTGGGACATTTGCCCCTGAATCTCTATTTATTTTTAATAGAAAACTTTTATTTAATAAATATAAATTTCAAAAGTACAACTTTTGGATTATAGTGTTTCTAACCCCCGTAACCACCCTCCCACCCGCAAACCATCCTATCTCCAACTCTCTCTCCCATCCCATTCTTCATTAAGATTCATTTTTAATTCTCTTTATATACAGAAGATCAACTCTATACTGAGTAAAGATTTCAACAGTTTGCACCCACACAGACATAAAGTATAAAATACTCTTTGAAGATTAGTTTTACTGTTAATTCTCATAGTACAACACATTACTGAATCTCTTCTTTATAAAGACACATTTTACCTTGTGAATAAAGAATATTTGGGGTGGCACTTTGAGATTATGTGAACATCATATTTAATAACATTTCACCTAATGGGATTAGCATTCATTGATGAACCTGGCTTGTAACCATTATTATATTCATAGTTGTGAAAAAGATATTATATAATTTTCTTATTCTGTCAACATTTTTAGCTGGAATTCTATACAGAAGTCTTTCATCTACTCCCTCCACACCTTTTTTGGAGTATTTGGAAGTATCACTATGAACTCATAAATTCTTTTTTTCACAGGATCAATTTGACCAGAAAAAGAGTAACTTTTTATGTTTTTTTCTTATATGATGTTTGATATATAGTTGTCTTTGTGAAATAAGTTAATAAATAATATACTGTGGGTTGCTCTAAAAATATTTGCCCTTCCTCAATTTTGATGTATTGTAGTTGGGTTTAAAGTTTCCTTCTTTATTTACCATGGTTAACAATGGTGGGTGTGATATGTTATCATTTATGCTCCTTTGGTGAATTAAACATGAAATAATGCCTGTTACTGTGATGAAGTATCCATGGGAGAAAATTCCCAGTGATACCACTTACAGAAGTGCAGTGTTTTTTAATTTTCTTCTTCTCCTTGACAACAGTGCACACACAACTAATATTTTCTCTCTTGTAATTATAGGATCGGCGATTCAATGATGAAATTGATAAGCTAACGGGATACAAGACAAAATCATTACTGTGCATGCCCATACGAAGCAGTGATGGTGAAATTATTGGTGTGGCCCAGGCAATAAATAAGATTCCTGAAGGTGCTCCATTTACTGAAGATGATGAAAAAGTAAGGTTTCACGCCTTTCATATTTTGTACTTTCCTTTTTGATCATTCATTGATATTCTTCCTTAAAAGACAGGAATTATGTAGCTGTTGGTTTAGCCCATTCATGGATCAAAGGGCTTTTCCTCATGTTACACAAAATGTTTCACAGAATGTGATATAATTGAAAATAATTACTTCATCTTTACTTTTTTACCCTCCCCCTTTTTCATAAGCCTCAGTAATATTCTTGTTATTCTCTGGTCTTTATGGCCCCTATAAGTAAAGTTTTTAATTGAAGATCACAATGCTACCACACATGGCCCCAGGGAAGACAGGGACTAGAGGAAGATTACTGTGTTTCGGAAACTCAGCACTTTCTCTTGTATTTTTATAACTACAATGAAGAATTGTTTTCTCAGTTCTTACATAAAAACCTCAATAAAATGAATGTTGTTTAATTGTTACTGCAAATTGCTAATAAAAAGCACATTATTTTTGTCCCTGAGCAGCAGTTGACCTTGGTAGAGGATGTATTTTTTGTCCTGAAATTTCAGTTCTTTACCAGTTGTTTACTCACCATCTTGTACTAAGAGACTCTTCAAAGAGCTGATGTGTTGGCTTTGAAGCTCTTACTTTCATCCTAAGTAGGATCTGATTAGGTGTTAAATATCTTGTAGTAAAAGCACATTTTGGTTAAGTTTGATGACCTCCTTATTCTAATTAATTGAAGAATGTATAATTTCACCTTGTGGATGTGGGTTTGCTATTTGCCAGAGTTGATTTTTGATGCATTAAAATACTACAGATCTACAGGTTTAGAAATCCAATACAAAATATGACTGTAAGGACACCAGATGATTTCTGAATGAAGAGAATCTTTCATTGAGGATGTTTCTTTGGTGGAATTGGAATGTTGTAAGTTCTGGTAAAAGTTTATGAACGCTTAATAGTGATATTGGGTCTCAGATGATTTACCAATTTGATAAACCACATAGCATGTTGAAGACTTTGGGTGGGGACCTGGAAGGCACTAAGATAAACCTAAAATGTGTCATGCCATCCAGGAGCTACACAGGTAGAGAACAAGATGTCCCAAGACATGCCCAGAGAGCCTAGACAAGAGAAGGTTCTTCTCAGAGGCTTGGAGGAACAGAAAAGGGTAATATTTGATCTTTGAATCCAGAACAGGCTTCCATCAGCCAGACCAGAAATGAAGCAGAGGATGCTTAGAAGTGTATGTAAGTGTGGAAAGGAAGGTTTCCATGGAATGCACAGATAAAGCAAAGATTTCATTTTCTTCATTTTGTATCTTAGATGATAGAGCCCCGAGATAATGTGTCTTCTATAAGAGTTTAGATAGAAGGATTTGGACTTTGTGTCTTTCCAGGCATAACAACTACATACCCATGACATCCCCCACACGGTTCAGTTAATACACAGGTGGTAGCCCTGCCTTCTTCATTTAAAGAGAGTCTCATCTTTGATTTCATTCATGTTAAGTTTGTTTTCTGGACTTTTCTCAGTGGATTTATACTTAGGAAATAGGACTTCTTAAGCTCTGAATGATTTCAGTGTAAGATTTACACAGAGCTTTATACCTGTCTTGAACAGTGTCAATGTTTAGATCTATTGAAAATGAGAGTCTGGGACTGAATCCCAGCTCAGCTAATGACAAGCAGTTGCTTGGGTGAGTATCTTAATCTCTCTCACTTTCCTTATCTGTCAGCTGTATTATCTGCCATTCTATGGTGTCAGAATTAAATAAGGTCATAAATAAAACACATTTTTTAAAATATAAGAAACTAGGCAAATGCAAAGCATATATTTTTCTGTTTAAACTAACATTCTCCCAAGAATTTTAAAATGTCTTCAACTTGTCATTTATTCCCAGGCAATTTATTTCTTAGATTCAACCTCATTTAAACAATTCCTTATTCAAAATACTGGATTTCTCTTTCGCAGTTATCTCACATGCCCACAGTAACATAATTTTAATTTTTTTTTTATTTAAATGAAGAGCCAGGGGTTGTGTAGGGGTGGGGGCGGGGGGGGGGAGAGAGTTCTCATGTGCTATATCACTTTCTATATGCCTACAATAGCCAGAGTCAGGTTGGGGCTGCAGGTGGGAGCAAGAAACTCAATCCAAGTCTCCTACAAAGGTGGCAGCGATCCAGTTACTTAGGCCATCAAGGCTGCCTCCCTAGGGGTGCAATAGCAAAAAGGTGAAGTAAGGAACTGGAGCCAGGAATTGAATAGAGGCACTCCACTGTAGTATGTGGGCATCTTAACTGCAAGGCTGAATGCCCAGCCCTCCGGGCAGCACTTTATCTTTCAGCCTCTATAATTCCCTCACATGACTTTAAACTCCTACTATAGTCTCACTTCTTAAAAGAAGACTATTAGTCATAGCAGAAGATTGCTTTCATGTAGATGATACTGTCCAGAGAGTATTTTGTCTCGACAACTTCTAGATCTGGTTAATGTCCTTTGCTGCAAGGATTCTATATATTGTAAACCAAATAGGAGTGATAAAGAAGAAAAGGTAGGGGCCAGCACTGTGGCTCACGGTTAATCCTCTGCCTGCGGCACTGGCATCCCATGTGGGCACCGGGTTCTAGTCCCGGTTGCTCCGTTTCCAGTCCAGCTCTCTGCCATGGCCCAGGAAGGCAGTGGAGGATGGCCCAGGTGCTTGGGCTCCTGCACCTGCATGGGAGACCAGGAGGAGGCACCTGGCTCCTGGCTTCGGATCAGCGTAGCTCTGGAGGGAAGACCTTTCTCTCTGTCTCTCTCTCACTGTCTAACTCTATCTATCTATCTATCTAAAAAAGAAAAGCTAGAAAACACTCTTTAAGTGATGAATTGGAAGTATCAAAATCTACATTCTTCTCCTAAATAAGAGAAAGCACACAGCATAACACTGCAGAGTCTATTTGGGTTGAAATTCCATGTCCTCCGTGGTTTGTGTAGTCTTGGGCAAGTTACTTAGATTCTTTGTGTCCCAATTCCTTCCTCTTAGAAGAGGGATGATAAAAATAATGTTTGTCTCATAGGCTCTTGGAAGATTAAATGAGAGAATACAGAGAAAGAACTTGGAAGAATCCTCACACAGGAAATCTTCATGAAATACTGGCTTTTACTGACAGCACATTAATACACGTGGGATACAGCCAGGCTCAGTTAAAAACACTACCTCTGTGTAATTTGGGGCTGTTAACTTTTATTAAGTGGATATTTTGAGTTACTAAATATGTGTAGGTGCCGAGAGGGTGGTATGCCCAGCAGGATGTGTGTGTGTATGTGTGTGTGTGGGGGGGGGACTGAAGCTCTGTACACCTTACTGCATATCTCTCCGTGTGCATCTCTCCCACCTGACTGTTTCTGACAGATTGGTTTATGATAAATGGATTCCCATAGTGAGAGATCATATATACAAATGGATAATCAACAGACCATACATGACAATAGAACTCAACCCATGTTGTCTTCCATGGTCAGTCTAGAAAGCCAAATCACAGTATCTGAAGCTATCAGCCCAGAACAGTCATGATTTGGTCAATGATTGCAGCTTCCCTAGATTTTTGCTCCTGCATTTCCCTCTACCACCATATACTTTCAACTCAGGGTGAGCCAGAAAAAAAGAACAAGTTTTCTCCCCAAATTAATAATTACCTAAAATGTCCTGCTTCTAGTTAGTCTGCATTTAGCTTCTGCATGCCAACAACTTCCAATCAAAGCAGACTTAAATCTTCTCTGTTTCACCATCAAACTTATCCACTCCCCTTTGAGTCTACTAAATGCAAGTAATGGTGGCCAACTTCCACGTTATAGCAAGATTTAAGTAAGTAGCCTCTATTTATCATACATAAGCTGTATACCAGGTTCTCTTCTGGTGGTGGAGTTTCAACAATGAAAAAGGGGGATATACTACTTTATAAATTCGTAGTTCTCTCATGTTATTATTAATGCATATGGTATTTCCTTAGTTGTGTGATAGTATCCTTATACTAATTTGTGTTTTGCTTTTTAATGTAAAGTTACTTCTTACATATATGTTCACATGTGACTATATCATGCATTTGCCACTTATTGGAATTATAAAGCTTTCTTTTTCTATTTTTCTATAAAATTTACTTAGGCATTGTACTGTTACTGGGAATTTGGGTTATTTCCAGTTTCTTCACTACTACAAATAGACCGTATTTGTAGATTGAATGAATGAACATTCTGGACAAATTCCTTTTTCTTTTTGTGTTGTTCCCTTGGGGTTTATTCCAAAGACTGAAATTATTGAATCAAAGTGGACAAAAAGTTTTACAGCTCTCATTCCATGTTATCAAAGAGCTTTGGGAATGTGTTGAACCCATTTTCTATGGTAGTAACACGCACACATCTATTTTCTTAGAACCCTGACAAATTTGTTCAGTTCACATATTAAAACTTAGTTTTTCTTAGTCTGCCAGGAAATTTCAGATAACCTCCTCTCACTTTGCCAGTAAAAACTCTAGGAAGAGAAGTAATTTCAGTGTTGCCTACGAGTAAGGGATCAAGGAGCAAAAGGAAGCTGTGTCATGAGTAAGATGCTCTGGAGTTAGAAAGCCTCCAAAACAGGTTCAAGTCTTGGCTCTGCTGTTTGTTAGCTGAGTGACCTTGAGCAAGATGTTGAATCCCTCTGTTGTCTAGAACCTCCGTCATAGGGTTGTTGTAAAATAGGAATAAAATAGATAATAAATGTAAAATGTTTAGGGTACCACTTACCACCCATAAGTGAGCCTTATGTGTTGTGACCGTATATTCAAAGCCAAACTAAAGTAATCTGAACCCTATTTATTATTTTACTTTATACATATAAGAGCCGTGTCATCATTTACATGGATAGTGGTGAATTTGTCACCTATTTTCATACTATGATTTGTGTGTCCTGATATCTTGAAATGTCAACTTCTGGAGGCTGTAAGCTCAGTTATGTGTAGTAGAATTTTAAAAATCCTGCAGCACTAAATCCAGTAAAATATATTCCTTAG